GGGGAGTCCTCGGCTCGAAACAGCTGGCTGCAGGCAGTGCCAAGATCCATTCCTCGTGCCCTGAGGCGTGACCACCTGGTGGGTGGGTGTTGTAGGATGGATTGTTCGGGCTGGTTTTTATACCTACCAAAGCTCAGGTGTTCGGGACTAGACCCCCAAAAGGGATGGGGCGGGATGAGGCACAGGTGCCTTTGGAAGCGCTGTGCTCGCAAGTGCGGTGCCCGATACGGAGCAAGAGTGCTTGGCAAGCTGCACCGGAGGGGTTCACTCCTCTCTAGGTGCATGTCCTTCCTCAGTGTCAAAGTCTGAGGATGCGCTCGGCCATGTACTTGGTGGCTGCCCAATCGCGGGCCGCCAAATGTCGTCTCGTCCAGCCGACTCTCGCCCCCAGGCTGCGATTGGTGGCCCCCGGCAAGGTGGCCAGGAGCTCCCGACGATGAAGGTTGACCAGCAAGTCCTTGGCCCGTTCCAAGATGGGTCCCTGTAGCACCAAAGACACAACACTTGGGACCTCCGTGGAACCGGTGTTGGCCGAAGTGGTCGAGTCGGAGGAAGCTTCGCTGCTGGGGTTCTCAATGTCGTCCGAGTCGATGTCCAATGGTAGCGGAGAGGGGTTCCTTCCATAGATTCGCACCGCTGGGCCGACAGCCTGTGGTTGAGGTGGAGGTGGTCCTCGCGGTACGTCCGGTTGCCCTCTGCGACTGCAAACCCTTCGCCTGTGCTCAGCAACATCAGCAGCATCGCCCACATCCTCAATGGGATCATTCTCCACAGCAGGTTGTGCAGCTGGCCTCCGCATCCGCGCACCATGAGGGCCCATCCAAAGGCGAGGCAACTGAAAGCATGTTCGCGCGTGGGCACGGCATTGACCGGCAGTTTGCCAAATCTACGGCCGAATGCGCTTAGCAGGCCTTGGAAAATGCGTTTGCTGATGTATATAGGTTATTTGGATGTCACTCGTTCGAAGAGATGTGTATAGAGTTATTGCACACAAGCAACGCCGAGGCCTGTTTGTTCAGGTTGAGAAGTCCGAATTTTGTATTTGCAAGTCGTCGCGTGTAAGCTTGAGCGTTCTCTGCCTAACATCGTTGGCGTGTGTAAGGCTTTGTGTCCCTCGGTAAGGAATTGCTCTTGCACCATGCAGTCGTAGTGACGACCATATCAGCGGGATCGTTTGTTCTGGCTGTTGTTTGGTGCTAGCACTCTGACAGTCGCGGAGAGCCCTGCCCAGCCCGCCCCGGAGCCGGAATCAGCGGGCTCACCGGCAAGCCCCCAGAATGCATTCTTCAAGGCTTGGAAAGCGCATGTAGACCTGTTTCAGCTTTGCTGGTGTTCCTGGCCCCAGTCCCCGAACCCAAATCCAGCTCCCAAAGCCCAAGTTCATTATTCAAGGCCTACCAAACGCAGCCGTGGTTTCGACAACTCTGGCTCAATGCTGTCCCTACACCCGAAGATGCAGCCACCCGGAAAATGCTCGAATCAGTTCCCTTAGCTCCGACCAAGCCCAGACCTGCCATTCACATGCGAGCCATGGCACCCATGGTGCCGGCTCGGGTTCTCGGACCCACCGAGGCATCGCCTGACGAGCTCAAGATAAATCAAGTGCTTGAAAAACTTGGTGCTAAGACTGCCGCGAATGATGACGACGATCGTGATGACGGTGGACATGGTCATCATGGAGACAGTCATGATCATGAAGACGGCATTGATGACGTGCCGATGACCCCCCAAGACTATCCGAAACAATACCAGCATCATCATCACCACCGTCACCATGACCACCATGACGACCATCAAAACCATCACCATCAGTGCCATTGACAAAATCATCACCCTCATCGGCATCAACGTAATCATCATCATCATCAGCAGCAGCATTAGCATCATCATGACAAACTTCGACACTACCCCAAGCCACCCACCCCAGAAACTAACAAAGAACCCCAAAGGCATAGAGTTGAAGCTTGTTTCGAGCCTGTTTGATTGATTGCTCGATTGATTGATTGCTTGACTGACTGATTGATTGATTGATTGATGAATGGATCGACTACCTGTGTTTGCGGAGACCCCTGCACTTGCGAGGCAAAGGAGCCTGCATGATGCAATGAAAACGCAGCGCTGATCCTTTGAGCCAACGGCCCTGGTCCGAGTGCGGCGTAACGGCTGGTTCGAGGGCTAAACCCTAATTCCTAATCCCTAAACCTCATGCATGTATACTATGCTTGGAAATGCATAGGTATATGGTGCGGCAATTGTTGAAGAAAACCTAATGTTTTTGAAAACTGCGCTCGCACATACACACACACATATACGAATGAATATACACAATACATTCTGTACATTCATATCGGCGGCTGAGTTCGGTTTCTGTGCCTGGAGCGGAGCAGAACTCGACTAACGAAGCCTAACATGACACCTGAGTTCGGAAGCCTAAACGCGGCTCGCTCGAGCCTTACGCCTAAAATGCTCACGGCGGTTGCTTCGGCGCCCGGTCCGCTCGCTGCCCGACGCCCAAACAATTCCTTAAAGCCGAAGTTCTGCGCTCGAGTCTGCTGGAGCCTAAAGTCTGTCCATCCAGCCTGATACCGAAAATGCCCTAAACCCTAAACCCTAAACTGAACCGCCACCCCAAACCCTAAACCCTCTTCTTGCTTCTGAAATGTTCCCCTTTTGGGTCTGAAAGTTTGGTCGACTGTGGAGCTAGAATGCACCCCCTCTTGAAACGCACAACGCTCGGAGAGAAATGCTCAAAAAGACACTAGATGGCACATCCAGCCCAACAACTATATGAGCTCCTGCCCAGCCAATCCCTCCTGCCTAGTAGTAGGTCTTGCCGCCACCTCGGCGCAACGAAGTGGGACAGGACAACACCACCCGAACCATCCACTGCTCTTCCGAGGCTCTCACCCCACTTCTCCGGGATGGTCTGGTTCTGATAGAGGATGTACGCGGACATGTCGTACCTGGACTGAGCTGTCGTGGAAAGCATGACGACAGCGAGAAACTCACAGAAACGCCGAGGTCTTGGCAAGTCCTCGCAGGGTGTGGACACACACACACACACACACACACACACACCAACACCAACACACTTTGCACTTGTGACTAGAACGCAGTCAGCACATGGATCATGGCAAGCCGCCCTCTTTTAAAGATTCTAGCTTTTCGCCCCACTCCTGCTGCTTCATGGAGCGCATCTTAGGCCAGATGTCGCCGCCCTTGATGGATGGGTGGACCTCGGAGATGTCCTTCAGACCTTGCCAGGCAAGAAGAGCGAGAAGAATTGCAGGCGCAAGAAAAGCAGTTGCCACAATCTTGCGACTCGCATGTATACTGGGCACAGTGCCGTCGTACGTGGTGGGGTTGTTCAGGTAGTCCACCAAGCCTGAACTCACAACCGGAGAGGTCGACTGGTCTAGTGGAGAGCGCCACCCAAGCTCCTAGCCTTCGACGGAGGCGCGGTTGGGCTGCGCACCGCTGAGCTCCTCGATGGCCAGACCGACGTTCCTCAGCAGTATCCAAACGCTTTGGATTCATCGTTTCTGTGCATGCACAATCGCGCTGCTCCGATGAAGCCATGATTCTGGTTGGTGCGGGTACCACCTCCGACGTGGCAAGAGGCGCAGGCTGCGTTGAACAGACGCTTGCCGCGCACGAGCTGCTCCTGACTCATTCAACTTAAATCGAGGAATACCGAGGCGAATGCAGGGAGGGGTCTTGCTGCATGCCTTGGTCAAAGTGGTGGTCTTGCCCTTGTCATCAACAGGGATCACCACATCCTGGCGACCATCTTTGTAGCTTAGATTCACACAAAGACATACACAGACATGAGATCAGAGACCAGGAATGCTGGTAGCTGGCCAGCGCCGGCCTCGACATCGGCCCTGGCAGGACCCGCAGTGCCGGCAACCAAGGCCAGGCCCAGCATGGCCCCAGCAGCGAAGCGCAGCAGCCCGTCGAAGGCTGTGGTCGTGGTCGATGCTTCCTGTGGTGTCTCACACTGTGTGTGTTCTTCACATGCGTTGGTATTCAAGACGGGAGGGAGGACACCGGCCTCTTCTACGGCTTCGAGCCGGGCGCTTCCGGTGAGGTGCTCCGGAGAACGAGTGGTTTGCCGCTGGGCCTCTTGCGAGAACTCCTGAGAATTCCGCCTTTTCCAAGGCAAGAAGAAGAAGCGCCAGGAGCCTGAATGCCATCTGCGACGAAACCACGCTGCAGACCGACCAAGGCGACGCTGGCAACCTGGAAGTCTTACGGGAGATTCGAGGAAGATGCAAGGCAAGCAATCTCCTCTACTGGTATCGTTCTTTTAAATGTAGATCAAGGTGGCATCTTGCTGACTGTGCAGCAATACTCGAACCACTGACTTGCGCCGATCTTTCCGGCTTAGTGTAGATTGAAGGAAGCTTGTCTTGGCCCATTGAGATAAGCCCGCTGAGACGTTTGGGCTTGGCGGCATTCATGCAAAGCAAAGAACAGCATGGCCGGGCAAAGAAAAGGAACTGCCACACGGCACATGCACGGTGCATCGCCTTGTCTTTGAGTCGATTGCAGAGAAAATCTAAGCGACAGTCTTGGGCACCCTTAACCCTACGTCGAACTCTGAGCCTCCTCTCGTAATTATTGTGCTACACTAATTGCTGCACTGCTCTTGGGGTCTTTCAGCACCTTCCTTCGAAATGTTTTCCCAAATCCCCAAGGCACGAGTCTCCTCCCCTGCCCTCGAAGTCGAGAGGCTGCCAGCAGCACCACAGCACGAAGAGCCATGGCTTTTTAGCCTGCAATGCCGAGAACCGACCCTCCTCCGCTTGCCGAACTTCCTCCCTCCGTGCCTTCTTGGCTCTGGTCTTGGCTGCAGCTGGGGCCGAGAAATGGCTGCGACACAGAAGCAGCGGGGAATCTGCAGACTGGTCCGCAGGACTAGCAGTTATCTGTTACGGGCATCTTGCTTGCCGGGATTGGAGAATGTGTCATGAAAGTGCGAGGCGGCACCCCGAGTCCTGCAAGGCTTCCTCAATCCGCCCTCCCAAGTCCTGCGACGCTCAATTCCGAAGATTCTAGGAATTGAGCCATGAGTCGGCCCCTGCTCCTCTTCTAGCTTGCCACATCCTGCTTTACAAGAGACTGCAATCCTCCAAGCGCTTCGAGAGCACTTCGTAGATGGAACTGGAAACCTTGCGGCCGGCGACACATGCGACTCTAACTAACACCCGGCCTTTGCCGCAGCCGCTCCAGCCCAAGTCCCACACGAAATCATCACCTCATCAGCACCCGATCACGGCTCGACCGGCAAAAAACTCAGATGAAGGAAGGATCCGAGTTCTGAGGAAACGACTTTTGGTGGCTAAGCTGCGCTCAAGTAAAGCATCCTGCAACGCAACAACATTGATGCTGGGTTCTGCGAGGCATACTGCGAGCTACGGAGCCAAACATTGCGACTCCACTAAGCTCGACGCAGCTGTGGCTTTGTCCACCAAGGCCTCTTCGCAGGAGCTGCAAAGTAGCGTAAGCGTGCACACGCATCCGTTGGACATGATGCCCGGTGGGGCGGTCCTCTGACCGCCCTTCAAGGAGTTCAAGGCGCCCACAGACGTGCCCGAAACTCTCGCGAATCTCCTGGCGAGAATCTGATTCTGTTGGCGTTGCGGGAAGATCCGCAGAATCCTCGTGAAAGGAGCTTCGCTGGAGCTCCGACTCCAGCCTCGCAGATGCCGCGAAAGCCGCATTTCCCCTCTGCGTGCTCAACATTTAGATACGTTGGGTCGCGAGCCGCTTTCGAGAACTTCTGGTGTCATGATCGTTCGAATGCTGGAAAATTTCGCAACCCCGTAGTTGTCGTGAGTCGTTTCACGGCAGTTCTTGGACAACTCTTCCGTTAACTCGTCAAGTGAACACCGCCGTCTCGAATGCTTGAAGCTTGCAACCAACATCAGAGCACGGGCTACAAAATCCACAAACTTACAATTGAGTCGAGGGGGGTCTTCCGGGGTCGCGTGCCAATCTCAATTGGTTCTAGCACCACTCTGTTGCACATTCGCAACTCTTATTATAGTGGATCGGCGCTTTCAAGCTTCGTTCAAGGGGTTCTGGCATCGTGTCAGCTTAAAACTCGCGATCTTAGCACCGGGGGTTCGTGTGGTGGCTCATTCTGACCCTCTCCATATGTTTATCGCTAACCATGCTGTCGACAAGCTACACAAGCCCGTAAGTTGCTGCTCTGTCAGTGGCTGCCGGGACGTGTTTCAGGTGCATCGACGATGTAACGGCGCCGCTACACAGGGCCATGGTGAATGTGGTTCTTGCTTGTGGTGTGCTTGTTGTTGCTGTTGAGGCCGGCGGTGGTGTCGTTCTCGGTAGCGTTGTGGGTCGTGTTGTTGCTGTGTTGCTGCTGCCGCTGTTGTTGTTGCAGTCGTTGTCGTTGTCGCTAGCAGCGTCGGTGTCGGTGCCGGTGTCGGCGTGGATGTCGTCGTCGTTGTCGCTGCTGATGGGTGTTGATGGTGATGTTGATCCAGATCTCCTGTTGATCCTGATACTGATATTGGTAGTGTTATTACTTATGACTCTTGTCATTTGTTATTGGCCTTGTCCTTGTTACTGTCCGTGTTTGTGTTATTATCTGCGTCCTTCATCTTGATCTTGCTCTTGTGATTGCTCTTGCTTTTGTTCGTGTTCCTGTTCCTGTTCGTGCTCGTGATGGTGCTGTTGTTTGTGCTCTTGTTCTCGTTTTGGGCTTGTTGTTGTTGCGAGTGGTTCGCGCTCGTGCCAGTGCTCTTGCTCTTGTTGTTGTCGTCGTCGTAAATACCAGTAGCCTAGACCGAGATCCTACACCTAGTTTTCTAGTGATTCTAGTGCCTTGGCATGCATGTGATGCAGAAGTAAACTGTGCAGATGATCATGTTAAACCCCCAAGCACGAAGCGAGTGCTGCTGACATCCGGGTTTTCTGCGGCCTTCCATAGATCTCCCTCTGGATCCTTACCCTTGCCCATCCCAAAGCATATCCTTGCCCTTGACTTACCCCGACAAGCCTCTGCAGGCGCTGCTGGTGCTGCTTGAGCGTGTCCTCGGACAGACTAGCGACTTGCTTTTGGACCGACAAGACAAGGCTCTCTGTGGTGAACCCCATCCCGAAGCATCGTCCTCCACCGCGACGTGGCTGCGCAGCTTTGAGGCCAGGGCCTGCACCTGCTGCTCGTAGCCTGCAGCAACATAGCAGACATAACACTTCCCGGTGAGGCTTTCGAAACGGCTACGCTGCACTTTGCTGGAGTGTGTGGCCTTGGCACTTCTTTTGCATTTCCTCCTCCACCTGGTGTCTCCACTCCCACCGCCGATCGTCGAGCAGATCCACTCGCCGGATCTGCGCCTGCATCTCGTCGGATAATCCTTTGAAGTTGCCGCTGAGCTCTGCAAGCCTCCTTTCAACCCTTGGTTGGAGACCTTCTGCTGCCGAGACTTTCTCTTCCAGTCTGCTTAGACTTGTGTCCTTGCTCTTGTCCCCTTGAACTTGCAGCTTGCTGATCTGTTTTTCCACCTTCTCTTCGAAGGCTTCGATCTGCCTTCGCACAGCGGCGAGGACAGCACTCTCATAGGAGGCCCGCGCTGCAGCGTTCACGACCGTCCGTGTGCCACTGAGCGCCCGGACGCCCAGTGCAGGGCTCGGGCTCGCCTCCAAGCCGCGGCCCCGGACCCGCGGATTCAGCTGATACTGCCAGGGACTGCCAGGAGCAGTGCCCGGACCCGGCCCGGGGCCCGAAGAGCCCGGCGTCGGTGTGGAAGGGCCCGCGGCCGCGGAGGCGTCGGCGGCGGAGCCCGCCGAGCTCCCCCCTCGCCGCGCCAAGGGAGCGACAAAGCGAGACGTGTCGCTTACCGGCTCTTCAGCATGGGATCCTTGACCGGGCAAGCTGACACTCCCTGGCGACCCACCAGCAGCCATGATGCGAAGAGAAGCTTCCGGCTCCGGGCTGAAGGGAACTTGGGGGGTTTTGTGATTCCGAGTCGGGGTTTTTTGGATGTGGAAGTGTGCTTGCGCGATATCGCGCGATGTCGACTGCGTGTCTCTATTCCTGCGTCGTGGGTGAGAAGCAGCTGGAAGGCTAAAACTCCGTGAGGTCTTGTAAGGACTGCCCTGTCCATTTGTGTTCTGGGCCGTCTCACCATGGTCGGGGTCAGAGATGGTCAGAACATGCCAAAAGACTATCATGGTAAGCACGATAGCATGTCAAAAGAGCCAAAAGGGCATAGCAAGGCACGGTGACGACCACGCTGCAGCTTCTGAGCAGTCAAAAGCCAGGCACGTCCATCAGCTGTCATCAGGCTCACGACCCGCAGTTATCTCAAGGCCTCGAGCCTTTGATGGAACTTCTCGACAGACCAGACCTGCAGGTCCGACAGATCCAGAGAGCCCAGCAGTGTGATTTTAGTCCGGCAGAATTCCCTCTGGGCGGTGGGCCGACAAGAGAGCTCCATCCACGTCGCCTCCACTTCGTCTCTCTACGGCTGAATCACATCAGGAACTTTCCGTGAACGCCGCAAAGACGTCGAGCCTGTCGGACCCTTCTCGGACGTGTCGACGCCTTCTCTCGTCAGTGTGCCAACGGAGCTGTCAGAGGGCCCTGCCTGTCCTGCCTTCACGCAAAGCGATGACAACCTCTGGGTCAGGCCTTTCACTGTCGACATGCGGCGGATGCTGCAAACTGCACAGAATTGCACGCATCACAGACCCCTATAATACCGATACCTGCTTGAGTGAGCAGATTCTTCAAGTCCATCGCGTAGAACTTCTGCCTGAAAGACCTCCGGTGACCCGCTGGCAATCCGGGAAGATCCGAAGAAGCCGAGGCCGAGGGAAGGGCCAGGCGCTTGCCCCGAAGCTCCTGCGTCAAATCCGTGGCCTCCTCCAACCGCGGCTGGAGCTCCTCGTGCGAGAGCTGAGCGCACGCGAGCGCACGCTTTGCGCGTGGCCCTTGGCGTGCCTGGCCTGGAGGAAGGCCACCTCAAAGCTAAAGACTCGAGGACTCGAACAGCCATCTCTGAGACAAAACCCGTGCGGACGCCGAACACCGAGCGAGCGGCGACGGCCGAGGCGCGCTCGACTCCGAGCTCCGCCTTGGAGCGGCGTCTCTGCGCTCGCTTCGCGCTTCGCTCGCTCTGCGCTGGTCGCCTCCAGGTCCTCGACCAGGGACTCCGGCACTCCGGGCGGCCTCTTTGGTCGCAGGCCTCCAATTTCTTTTTATTGCACAGGAAGGACGTGGCCAGCCGTTGATGTCCATTTTTTGAGGCCGAGGATGCTTCCTGCCTGTTTTGCTGTTTGACCTGCGGAGTGGGCGGTTCTGCCTGCCAAGCGCTGCAGTTAAGAAGGCAAAGCAAGCGGCCATCAGCTGAAGCCAACGGGACCTTGTCGCTGGGCCGTAAAGGCGGAACCTCACGAAGACAGCGACTTGCCTACACTTAAACTTAGAGTCGAGTCTCTTGGAGTCCCTAGTCCTTCATGGGATACCAGGGCAGTGGCACATGTCCATGTCCAACCTGCAAGACGTCCCCAGGCCTGAGCCACATGGAGCGTGACACACTCACGGGAGGGGAGTCTTCTGAGGCCAGTCGCTGAAGAGTCGCAGCGTCTTTGACTCGCCGGTTGTTGATGGAGACCTCCCCCGGGCCCGGGCTACGTGGCTCTCTACTACTCGTCTCCCCTCTCCTCTCGCCTTTGGAGCTCCGCCCTTGTAGAGGGACCCCTGCCTGCAAGCAGCTGCAGAGGGGGCGCACGCGGCATGGGCATGGGTTTGAAAGGCGCTGCCTCTCGAATGTGGCAAAATCGTCTCCGTTGACCTGCGTCACAGCAGAATCCCGGTGTGCCGGCCACTGCACAACCTCTCACGCGGCCTGAACCTCCACATCACACCCGGGCTGCCACGAAACTTGACACATCGCCTGCAAACCAGCACTGGAAAGAGATGATGGTCAAAGTCAATGTCTGCACGTGTAACGTGCGTACAGCGCAGTAAACAACACCATTCTGCGCTACTTGTTGTCCATCGAGAATCGAATTTCGGGTCGCTCCCTCCAGACCTATGCGCATGCGCGAAACCTACCCAGGCACGCTCTTTGGAGGAGCGAGTAAGTGGAATTGCAGTGACAGACCTGCCTCCCGAATACCAAGTCCGTCCAGTCGCACTTGGCACGACCTCGGGGCAGCCCCTTAATTTGACATCGCAAGCTGTGCCAAGCAACCACTCCAAGTCTTGGAGTCCACACGTGCTACTGCCAATGCTAACCTGAGCCAGACACGCACTCCGCCAAACTGCCTTTATGCTCCGACTCCGAGACTGAACCAAACGAGGCGGTTGGACCGTCTGATTCGCAGGGAGCATGTATCGCAAGCAGCCTGCAGAACCCGCTCAAGCTTGTGCAATCAGGCTGCGTAGATATGGTGACACCTGGTTTAAACCAAGCGCAGTCGAAAGATACTTCGTTTTGACATGTCGGAATCATTGTGTACAAGTACCACACCTTCTGGCATAGCCCGAACGTACTCCAGGCACTCCAGTCGAACAGTCAACTACCAACAATGGAGAGGACCTGACGGAATGCTTGAGACAGGAACCCTCAAAGGCAAGGGGACGGACAGCAAATGCTGTGACGGACTGGAAATAACGAGACAGAACCTGACGTCCTGACAATACAGTGTGTACCGGCATGGAAGCTCACTCCAAGGAGAGCCACGGAAGAAAATAGACAAACTTAGGGACGAGAGCTTTCCCATGCACAAAGACGTAAATCTTGGATCGCAATCCGAGCTAGAGCACAAATTTGATCTTGAAGCGGCCCAGGAATAATTGTGCCGTTGCCAGAAAAGTTGATAGATACCAAAACGAACCCAAGACGGAGTCGGATGACCCGCGAGGAACCAGGGCAAAGTGATACAACGCCAGAATAAAAGCTACCCAGAACAAAGGCAGGACAAATCAGGAGCCGGAATGTCTGGGAAAGAATAAAGGACACGCAGACAGAGCCGGAAGTACGGCCAATGGCCAACCAAGGTGTAGAGCAAACGCTGGGAGGGAGCCAGCCAAATACATGTCACGAAGTAAGAAGTAAAGAATGTGAACCAGATTGGACCTTCATTAGCACTGAGCACACACGACTTCAATTTTTCTGAATTTCGGCGAGCCATTGGAAAGATGCATTCTGGTAAGGCCACCAAAAACGGCGATGTACCTATTGCAATCTTCAATGCGCTGAACCCTAAACCCTAAACCCTAAAACTGCGCCACCACGGCTGGCAAAGTTAGGCTGCTCCTTCATTGGTCCACAGCAAGTCTATTTCAAGGTGATCCTGCAGACCCCAACAACTACCGGCCGATTCGCCTCCTGCGTGTCGCATACAAGCTTTTCGCATCGCTTCCTAAACGGCGCTTCCTAGATGCAGTCCGAATTCGGTTGTAGAAAAAGAGGCACGGCACCAGGCTGCCATTTGCGCTGTACTGCGAAAAATTGTACAGGAGTGTGCACGACACCATGGTCAGATCCATTTGGTGGTACTCGGCTGGAAGAAATTATTTAACAGCATGAACATACACAGCCTCCTTGATGCACTTCACCGATTTGGTATTCCAGATGTTGTTTGCCAAAGGGTTGGCAACATGTGCGCTTTATGTTACCGGTCAAAGGGTTTTCTCTGGGTAAAAGAATTCCCAGAACTCTGGCATTTCCGACGATCTGTGTATTCTTTGCAGGGAACACAGGAGTGGAGGCCGTGAAGACCTGCCGGTATTGACACTGTCAGACTGTATTTCTGTCACCGTGCAGGAGGCATGGTGCCTTCCTGCAATTCACCGCAAAGCTGCGAAATTCACACCGTTGTCTCTTACCCCCCACGTCCTCCAAACACCTGCTCATCAGATCTAGCGACTCTTGAAATTGGGCTCGTGCCGAGTTTTTTGTTCCCTTCATAGCCATAGCAGCCACAGACTGAACTTCAACGATGTTTCTCGACAGTTCAGTACACGTGGACAATGCACGCAGACTGCCATCGCGACCTACCACGCGAAGAGGACGGCACAATTGGAGACCCAACGGGCATTTGCTCGCTTGATTCACGGCAAGTCTTTGTGATTGATCGGGCACCTGATAGCAGTGGATCATCGCACACATTGATCAGGCAAGGCTCCTCAGTTGGCACGTCGAAGCGTGCAGATCTTTAAAAACACAAAGCAGCTGGACGAGCATGGGATGCTACGCTGTGCGGGTACTATGCACCACTTTTTTGAAAGCGACACCCGAAGACGGTTCGAGGCAGTCCTCGAGCGTCATCCCACCTGGCCGCAGCGACGGGACGGCTTTCCGTTCTACTGCCGTGCCAGAACTCCGAGGCTGCTCCCTGAGCGAGAGACTTCAAGCAGAGGGAAGGCCCCGGCTTTTCTCCGCGGCAGTTAAGCAACAGGAAACCGAAGAGCCTGGGTCTTTACCGACTTGTTCAGCAGGGCTGCAAAAGGCTTCTCC